CGCCGCATTGGCCAGTGCATTGTCATAGACCCTGTAAACGCAAACGTTCAACGTACGAGTTAAAAGATGTTTTATGAAAAGTATGTTTACCATCATTCCTCAAAATACCTTCTTTTATGTTCAACAGAAGAAAGAAACTCATACAGGTTTGGAACAAATAGATGCACATTAAATTAATAATTATATTAATATAATAAAAATATTATATTAATAATTATATCGCAACTGATATATCAATATTACACTATTATGTGCCTATTTTACACAACCAGTTACATTTTTAATAACTCACAAATTGAACTAAATATAACATAAACATGTACTTCCTTAAATTCAGTATCCCAGATCGATCTATCATTTTTACATATATATTTTTATATATTATGAGTCTTTGTGATGTACCTCCAAATATGATCCAGAAAGCACAGGCATATGGAACGAAGATCTCTAATATAGAGAAAAAGGAAACGCAGCACGTCTCCTGCAATCGTCCCCAGCATGACGATGAAGGGCCCCATCGCCCTACAGAATCAAATCAGACATTACCTAGAGTTCAATCATGTGTTGTATTTTAGGCCAATAGAGTGCAAAGATCAGTTTTCAGAAGTAAAAACCATTAAAGAGACAAACCGTCTGTCATGATTTGCTAACCCTAAATGTTGTTCCAAACCAGTATGACTTTTTGATGTTGTTCTTTAAAATATCTTTGTGTTCTGCAGAACAATGTATACAGGTTTGGAACAACACAGTTTGCACTTTTCTGTGAACAATTCGTTTAATTCTCACCACAGACTAACTGCACTGTAGTTTGTAGTTTGTAAGAGTACTTGTACTGTAGTTTATGACACAATTGCATAATTTGCAATAGTTTATTCTGTTTATAAAAGTACACTACCATTTGGAGTCTGGAGTTTGTTTGTATGTTTGTTTATTTATTTAGTATTAAGTATTTTATGCCCACCAAGACTGCAATTATTTTTCATAAATACAGTAAAAACAGTAATAATTATTACATTTTTAATGTAATTTATTTCTGCAATGGCAAAGCTGAAATCATTCTAATATTCTGATTTGGTGCTCAAGGAACATTTATTATTATTATCAATGTTAAAAACAGTTGTGCTGCTTAATATTTTTGTTGAAACTGATACCTTTTTTGTTCTTTTTTGTTTTGTTTGACGGATAGAAAGCAAAAAAAAAACTATTTTGTCTTTTACTTTTGATCATTTTAACACATCCTTGCTGAGTAAAGGTATTAATTTCTTTGAAATCATAAATCAAACTTTCTAATGGTAATGTATATTAGTACATTAGTACATGTTAGTATATTAGTACATGTTAGCTCATTAAATAACACAGTTACAACTTTCGATTTTAACAACGTAAATCATAAATCAAACTTTCTATTGGTAATGTATATTAGTACATAGTATTGTAGTTTCTTCTTCTTTAAATCAAAGTAATGCAATATTGTGATTCATGTTGGAGCTGGAAAAAGCAGCCTAATTGTTGTTGGCTCTGCTTGATGAGCAAAATGATATCCCTGCATATGTTGAAACACTGTAGTAGCATTCAGAAATGACAGAGCACAGGGTGTGCAAACCCCCGCGTCCTTACGTTTCTATGATTACCGTAACACTGACCATATGTTCCCATGGTTATCTGGCCCACAAAGAAGAGGCCACCTGTGGAGTCTCAGTGAAACCTGAGATATGGAAGCAGTGTTATTTGGGCCACTGGCCAGGTGGCAGCATTCGGCTGCAGGCGCTCTGTGTGTCACAGCAGTCAGGAGACCCAAAAGGTGTTGACATTATATCTGAGTAACTATGGTAACTGCCACTGACCAGGTGTTCCTATAGAGCCGAGGTTCCAGACATTTTACTCAGATGTCCACAGTGCCAAAAGTCATACGCTTCATCACCCCTATTAAAAAAAAACTGTTTATATTACACACACAAGCTTTTAAGGTGATGATTTTTTTTTAATGAAATCTCAAGCATACACATACAAATACACTAGCTTTATCCTGCATTCGTGGACGTTATTATTGACATTTCAAATTACATGCATTCATCTTACTTTTCAGTGTTTCCTTTTGTAAGGTTACTTTCAAAAAGATACATAACCTAAAGGCTCGGACATGCTTCATCAGCCTTAACCACAGGAAACTAATGGACACTGAAGAGGCGAAGACTGTTCTGTCGAAGTGAGTCAGACACTAGGAATATATCTGCCAAGTGGATGCCCAGAACTGCCAGCAGCAGTGAATAGACCAGCCAATCAAAGATATTCCTGCATCAGACATATCAGCATGTTTAGTCATAGATACAAATTCAGTTTGCATGCTCTTTCACATTCTACTGTATATTAGCTTATAATGAGTACTGTATATTACCAGGAGTCTTGAGAGTAGGTTCCTTTCAGGTTTCGAATATACTTTATTTGGCCTTCCAAGTAATTGCATTCCCGTTTTATTTTATTTTTTTAAAAAGGAAGAAAAAAAAAAAATTGTGAGTTGTGTCCTTACAACTGTGTATTTTATTCCTGTGTTCTATTTTCCTGTTTAATACTGTAAAACTGCTTTGACTCAGTATGTATTGTAAAAAGCACTATATAAATAATCGTGACTTTACTTGACTTGTAATGTTTTTGAAAGAAGTCTCTTATGCTCACCAAGACTGCATTTATTTGATCAAAAATATTTAAAATGTAATTTATTGATTTATTGCAAAGCTGAAGTGCGTTCCGCGTTCCCCTCGGGGGCCCCCCTCCATCGTCGGGCGTTTAGAATCATCCTAACCTTCCCCGCAAAACCATCCCCCTTACGGCACTCCTGCCTGTTATAACTATGCAATGATTTGATTTCAAAAACAGTATCATTGCTAATAAACTATATCTGGTTATGATTTTAGATCAGCATTTAAAGGGTTAATTCACCCAAAAATGAAAATTCTGTCATTGATTACTTACCCTCGTGTTGTTCCAAACCCGTAAGACCTTGTTTCATCTTCGGAAAACAATTTAAGATATTTTTGATTAAATCTGAGGGCTCTCTGACCCTCCCATAGACAGCAAGGGAACTAGCACGTTCAAGGTCCAGAAAAGTACCAGGATGATCGACAAAGTATCCATGTGGTTGTACTTGTAATACTCCCAATAGTTTGTATAAGTGTGTGTGTGTGTGTGTGTGTGTGTGTGTGTGTGTGTGTGTGTGTGTGAGCAAATATAAATACAAAATCAGTCCTAAATGAAAGATAAGAAGTTGACAAAAAGATTGAATCCAATATTTGGTGATAATATAGCATAATGAGTGATTTATTAGCAATTGTTTGAGGGAGTACCCTTTTTGCTCTGTAACCTCGTAAGTGTGATTGGGTTCTGAACACAACACAAGGGTTAATAAAGTAACTGAAATAGTTACACTACTCATTACATTTTAAATAGGGTAACTTGTAACCTGTAACCTATTACACTTCCAAAGTAACCTTCTCAACTCTGACAATAATGCAGTGTTACGGCTGGTGGTTTAATCTGTTTCTTGTTTACTTTTTTGTTGCCCCTCCTTTATTGTTTCTTGGCGTTGCTCTCTCTCTGTCTTAGGTGGACGCACCTGTTGCTTGTTTGAGAGTGGCTGATTAATTGAGCGAGCAGTTAAAAGACGCCAACGAGGAGGAGAACAGGAGAGACGACAGATTCTTGTGGGCTAGTGCGCAAACAGCATCTTCATGTCTTATTTTGTGTTTTGTTTTTTACTTTCTTGTTAGTTGTCTGTTATGTTAAATTGTTACTTGGTTGACAAGTTTTTCAATGTTGTTATACAGAGAGAGTGAATAAATAGACTTGAACAATTACTTCGTTTACTCATTCTTGTTTATGTTACATCATCTCTCTTTTTCTTGAGCCATTTGCTGAGAGGTTGTAACATGCAGTAAAATGGGAGCCTATAGTAGTTAAGAGGGTTTAAAAACATAACTATTCAGCTTGTGAGTAGTTATATGTATTTATTTAGTTTTTTAGTTCAAAAAAAGTTTTTTTCAGCTTTAAAATAATCAAAATCAATCCTTTAATACTGGGGATACTTTTCTAGGCAGATGATCATCTTGTTATGTGTTCCCAATGTAATTCTCGTGGATGGAATATTTATTTATTTACATTTTACAGACAAGGCTGTACAATTTTATCAAAAAATGTGGACACATATAATGTTTACATTTTATTTTTAGATTTGAAATGTTTGTGTTTTAACACTTTCCCCATTGTAAGTGAATCAGTATCAAAGGGAGAATGCCACAGATGACATTATAGATTTCCTTTAAATGTGGTGTAATCTTCAGTATAAAAAAATAAAATACATTTTTTAAAGGGATTGTTCACCCAAACATTCAAATTCTGTCATCAATTATTCATCCTCATATTGTTCCCAAGAGTTTTGATAATGAACACAAACCTGAAGATTGAAACCTGAGAGATTTCTGTACCGCCAGTAAAAGTCAATTCTACAAAAAATGTACTGCTTCAAAAATGTAATAAAAACATAAAAGTATAATGTTTATTCCAATTTTTTGAAGAGATACGACAGCTTTATATATGATGAGCAGATTTAATTGAACTCAATATTGTGACTTTATTCACATATTAACATTGATCGATGCACATACATTGAACACATCAAATATGGTCAAACCTCAAACAAAAGCTCAAATGGCTGATGCAAAGGTGAATAAATGATAACAGAATGTTCTTTTTTGGGTCAACTAACCCTTTAAAATACAAAAGTCAGAAACACAGGATCCATTTAAAAATCAATAGATTTCAATTGTGAGTGCAGTCTGTAAGCCTACTATCCTTCATTTTTTTTCACTCTTAAATAAGACCAAGTATAAATGAGTGTGAACCAGTTCAGTGTTACCTCGGGCCACATTGGGTGAGAGCAGCTCAAGTCCTCATTGATTTTCTGCACAGTCCAGCGTTGCCAGTGCTTCAGTTTCCTCCTAGAATCTCCATCACTTCCCTGTACACCTCAGTCACGGTCAGAACTAGAGCCAAAACTACCATCAACACACACTACCAGTCCTACCAAGAGAAGTGCGTGTACTGTAAACATATGTATGTGTATAAGCATAAAAATGTATATTCTAGATTTGTTTGCATTATGCATTCTCAATAATGTTAGAAAAAAATAAGGAAGAGTCCTTCAATTATGTCCAGGATCGTCAACAAGGGAATTAATCAATTAACATGGAAATCTATTAAGATTATAGTTAGCCCAACCTGAGGAAGATTGTACCAATCTCCAGCTGGACGTACTGACACAGATATGGCTACTGTTGTCCAGGACACGATAAATAGGAAGTTGAGAAGCAGGAGTATCCAGGCGCCCATTCTGTAGGAAAACATTTAATGTGATGTTATTCTCTGCTGATGTTTCTCCATGAATCAGTTTTAGACTTTGATGTTGGTTTACCTGCCATATAAGTTCCATTTAACAGTGATGAGTTTGAGCACTACAGGGTGCATGATGAGATCCAGTTTTCCCTGATTGACAGAGACAAATCTCATAATCTAATGCAGCAACACTGTACAGAAGTTTATGTGAAATATGCTTAAAGATGTGTACCGGTGATGATGGATCAGAACCTTTTGAGTTTGTCCTGTCAGCAGGCTTTGGCTCCATGAGATGAAGGTAGTAGAACTGCTGTCAGGTCATTCGGTCTTTCATACGGAACTGATTCATTGCCAGATCAGCCTGTCAACACCAACATGATACACTAACATTCCAAAAATATCATTTTAATGGTCTTGAAGTCTCAAGGCTACATTTATTTGATGAAAAATACAGTGAAAACATTAATATTGTGAAATATTATTATATTTTAAAATAACTATTTTCTAAGTGAATATATTTTTAAAATGCAATTTATTTCTGTGATGCAAAGCTGAATTTTCAGCATTTTTATTCCAGTCTTCAGTGAAACACGATCCTTCAAAAATCATTATAATATGCTGATTTGATGCTCAAGAAACATTTCCTATTATTATCAGTGTTGATGTGCTGCTTAATATTTTTGTGGAAACTTAAACTTAACTATTAATACTTAATAAACTGTATTTATTTATTTATGTATTTATTTTCTTTTGAAACAATGTAAAAGCCTCTCACTTGTGATCAATTTAATGCATCTTTGCTGAATAAAAGTATGAGTTTCTTTATTACAACAATCTTAATGATATCTGTGGCCTGATGATAACTAACACAGATGAATTAACAAAATAACAGTTTAAAAGCAGATTCACTATCATGAATAAAATAAAATAATTCATTTATGTAAATGCATTTTTAAATAATTATTTAAATAAAATATTTATTTATTTACTTATAATATTTTATTTAATATATTATAATAATTATTTTCAGTACATTATGCAACAAAACTGCAAACTACAGACAAATAAATAAAAAATAAAAAACTTTTTTGCACTTGCACATCTAACATTTCTTTGATATTTTTTTAAAACTTGAGAAAATTGTAGAGCTCCAAACAGGAAAAAATAAGTCATTTTGCTGCAGGTGTGTAGAGCCAATGCGATACTTGAAAATGAACAAGAGAGTGGCTAACCGCACACTGATCCACTCAAGACTGGAAAAGTCTACAAAAACGTATTTTTTATTTTATAAATTGCATCGTGCAAAAAGTGCATGTGAGTTAAAAACAGATGGACACGAGCAAGCAGAAGGCTGAAATGTCTGCTTGCTCATGTCCATCTGTTTTTAACTCACATGCATCTTTTGCACGATGCATGGATCAGTGTGTGGTTAGCCACTCACTTGTTCATTTTGATATTTTTAAAAAAATAAAGTAGCAATACTTGTATTGTGTCTGTCTTGGATTAATGGGTTTTGCTAGTATTTTAAAGTCATGTTGGAAGCATCTGCTAAGTGAATACATGTAATGCCATAAATTCTGCTGATTAACTTGTTCTGAATCAATTGCAATCCTTGATTCCTCACCACAGGGGTCATTTTAGCAATCATGGCAATAATGCAGAGCTGTCCATCAGAGTCCTGCACCCCAGCATCTGCTCCAAACCCCAGCAGCAAACGCGCTGTCTCACTCTGATCTGTAACACACAGAAGTCAAAACATGTCTTAGACAGCAGTCAAGGTTTGTCCACTGTTAGAGCTGGAGGACATGCACAGATCAGGCCTGACTTTATAGAGTTATCTATATATAGAGTTAAGTTAGCATTTGAGATTGCATTAATTCCTGTGATGGCAAAGCTGAATGTTTTTTTTTTTTTATTTAGCCTTAAAAGATGCATATTAGTACCTTAAAGGTACATATTAAGACCTAAAGAGTACATTAGTACCTTTTGAAAAGGTACTGCCTGACAGCTTTTGTACTCTTTATTTCTGAGATTGTACAGCCAGTTCTGAATTTTTCTGAACCCTGATAAACACAAATAAATACACCTCCTCTTTCTAACAGGAACTGCAGCATTTCCTCATAATCCAGAGCTGCGGCTACATGAAGAGGTGTCACTCCAAAACCATCGGCCCTCTGAAAATCTGCCCCTCTTTCCAGGAAAAAACGCATCACGTCCACGTTCCATGCCCGAGAGATCTACCAATAAACACAAACATCTGTGAATGATTTACAATGTCACCTATATTCTCAATATTTGAACGTAAGCATCAGCTGAACATTTAAATCCCAGAATGACATTTGATGGCATATATGTCTTACATAAGCAGTCAGACATTAACCTCATGCAGGGCCGTTTGCCCATATTTATCTGCTGAGTTTGGGTTAGCTCCATTCGTGAGGACATCATTCAGAAACTGCAGGTCCACCTGAAAGCAAAAATCAATATCATTGTGTGACACTGACAAATACAACATCATGTTCTCCCAAAGTTCACCAAAGTGGAGCCACATCATATGTTTCACAGGTTACCTCATCTGTGTCTTTAATGCTGGCCGCCAGGACTCGAAAGTGATCCAGGAGCCTTTTATTCAGCTGGATCTTCTTCTGTCCATCTACAGTGTCTTCATCCGTTGCCAGCCCCTTATATTTGCTGCCTACATATTCCTCTAAAAAGACAACGATTTAGAGTTAGGATTGATATTAAACTCACAACACGTGTATCATAATAACTTAAGTTTTTGTACCATCTATCTATCTCGATATAATCTTGTGGTAATGTATAATCAGTGATGAAACTGTTGATGGTGCAGGCTGATAGGTCATCTACATGCAATCTGCTAGCAATCACATCATTTTCTACATGGCACAAGCTGATTGTCCTCTGCTAATTCTGCAGCCCCTGAGATTGCTTGCTCCTATTTAAATAGTCTGGTGGAGTAAACACTATCCACCTTATTTTTAACGTAAGAACATGCACGACCATTTGTAATTAGAATGTGGTTCTGGTGTCATTCACTTCAGTTTATTTTAGCTGTACAAAAAAACTGTTATGTTACTTAATATTTGTTATCATCATATTATTTTAATATATTATAGTAATCATAAACACAACATTTTGTAATGTAAATAGTATTACCATTTATTGCACTGTTATTCTTGTAGTTATTTACCTGTCGTGGCTAATGAATCAGAAGTCTTGCACATTCAGAGGAAAATATTTTATGTCTGTGTTGTGGTCCTGCAGCACTATCAGTGTTCCTCTGAAACCCTCCACCTCCACCAGCTCCACCCGTCTAGATCTATGACAGGATGTCATGTATGCCTATTAATGCAGCAGCAGCAGCGTGTTTTTTTTTCTCATTGTGACATGAGAAATCAAATTTGCCTTGATCTTTTGGCATATAAGAGGTATTTGGACCATTAAAACATGCTGCAAGTTTCATAGCTAAAAACGTCCTCCTCATTATAAACAAAGCATTTATTTAATCAAACTCCAAAAATGGCTCGTTTTGGATCCGAGGGACAAGGTGACGTCACCTGGGCACAGTCATTTGCATAAACACTGTATCCAAAGCAAGACATTGACAAATAGTCTTCTTCTCACCATAGGCCCCGCCCACTGGCGTTCAGCCGCTTAACGGCTTGAAACTTGATCACGCTGAATGTGAGTGTCACATTGCGTCAAAAGCAAATAGAAATTACAATCACTGCCGCTATCTTGTCTACACTGGATACAGATGCGCATTCGCTTTCTGAGACAGTCCACTATCTGTCAATAGGACAAATGGAGTGAAAGAATGTTCGCTTTGACGCGTTTGGATTAAACAGCTCGTTTGCGTCTTTGTACAGATATCAGAAGGATCCCAGCGTAAGGAACAAGTGGACAGTTTATTTTTAATGGCATCACGTCAGAGGATTTTTCGGAACATTTTGCTTTGTAAACGAGGCACGGTGCATGGAGAGTTCACAAAGAAACATTTGTTGAAAGATGAAGCGGTACTAGATCTGACTGCAGTTGCATCACAAACCGTAAGTAAATTATTTCATAATGCTTTGTCTGGAAATGACCGTTTTATTTTGATTATGTTGTCAAAACACTCATGCAATAGTGAGGGGGCATTGATACTGTTTCCTATGCAATGACGTTAGCCAATCATAACAGTGGCTGATTCCTGACAAGCCTTAAAGGACCCGCCCCTTAAAACAGGTCGTTTTAGACAGAGGGCCAGAATGAAGGTTGAAAATAATCATTTTTGCACATATTTTTTTTTTTTGTGAGCAAAAAACTTTATTAACATTATAAGTAAACCTCAAGGAACATATTAAAATAATTAAAAAATCCATGTCATGACCCCTTTAATGCACTACAGTATGCTGATGACATTTATAGTATGTAATGTGAACCTGTGAAACTGTATCAGCGTGTCTTTATATTCATTGACAGTAAAAAGTCCATACTTTGTCTGGTACATCAGTAAATGGTATATTATTTCAAATTAGGCCAACCAAAGTATTGCCCTCTCATACCATCAGTGTATCTTGGTACAGCTACAATACCTTTTTCTAAGGGTAATCAAATCTAAATACTAGGCTATTTTATCAATACCGTCTTCAAAATCACATTTTACAAAGCAGGTAAAGCGTTTATTGGCTTGACATTTTGAAGGGCACATAACATGCATTGATTATAAATACCTGAGGGTTTCTTCCTGACAGACCTGCGGGCAGCATGTTTCCAGCGGCCTCTTGCATAGGATGCCAGGTAAGCGACTGACCACCCCACGTCTTTAACTGATGCCACAGATACCGGAGAAGCAATGACTGGCTGCACTGACTACAGCCATACATACAAAAGAGTAAAAACATCAACAAATGGCACAATAGTTTACAATAGTTACAATGGCAAAAGACTGTAAACAATACTAAGGTAAAACCACATGGTAATTGATTAACAGTAAGTGGTTCATAGTTTTTGGAAGTGAAAAAAAAAATCTTGTAATTTACAGTGAAAAACCATAAATTGACATTCCCAGAATTCTCTGTGTGACAGCTCACATTGATGGTTTTTTTTTCGTGTAATAATTGTTTCTTCTTTTTTGTTATCAGTTATGTACATTAGGGTTTATATTACATCTTAAATTGTTACATTAATGTTTATTGGATTATTTTAGTGTCAGTTACTAATATATCACTATTTACGTCAGCTTAGATTCTACATGGGTCTCTTCTTACCACCAGATTTTTTTTTTTATTACAATAATTTTTTTTATAGCTATTTATTTTATTACAATAATTATTGGTATATGAATACCAATATTGGTATACATTGGTATATATTATATCAATTAATGAAATATACAGTTGAAGTCAAAAGTTTACATACACCTTGCAGAATCTGCAAAATGTTAATTATTTTACCAAAATAAGAGGGTGTCACAGCGTCTAGTTGGTATGCCCATGTAAAGCCACTAGAGGGCACGCTTCTTAGTTTTGTTTGTTTCTATGGACTTCATGGTTCCCACAAAGCTTCTATGGTTCCCATCACCCTTTGCCTTGACTATCAAGCCTCATTACATTATTGTGTCCCATTTACCTTGTTAACTCATCCATATAACCCTGGTTTTCTTTGTCTTTGGTTGCTGGTTTACTGATTACTGTTACGTGTTTTCTGTTGATTTTGCCCTTATGTGGATTATTCTGTTTGTTGTTTGGACTCTTCAATAAATGCTGCATTTGGATCTTCTCGATTTGGAGCATTCTGTGACAGAATAAACCAGCCATTAACAGATCCAGCAGCTAAGCTGGGCTTATCGGATTGTGGACCATGGGCATTCGTATTCTTCCTCCTGCTTCGAAGAAGGAGCGGAAGGCTCGGCTCCGGATGTTGGCGGATCTTCACTAACAGGGGATGAAAGTGGGAGGTTTTGCTCGGACCTTCTGGACTTCGGCGGTAGGACTGGAACTTAGTGAGTCCAAGCTCAGAAAGACTTTTAATGACTGCCTAGACAATCCCTTGCCTCCTCGGGAGATGGAGGGGCTTAAGACTGTTGACTTTTGGAGTTTTATTGATTATCTCTGTTACCGCAACTTAGTAATGTCATGTCAGTCTGAGTCCATTGCAGTGCTCCCGGAGATGCCCGAGCCTGCTCCAGTGGATGGTGAATCTTCACTGTCTCAGTCTTGCAAGCAAAGGTCAAGAAGGAGGAGGGCAGCAAGGTCCACTCCAGTTCTCCCGGAGCCCGCTCCAGTCCTTGAATCTGCGCTAGAACCCGGCTCCAGAGTCTGACCCAACTCCGGTGGTCCTGAAGGACCCGACTCCGGTGGCCTCGAGTCCAGTGGTGCTGGAGGACCCGATTCCGGTGGTTCCTGGTCCGGTGGTCCTGGAGGATCCGACTCCGGTGGTTCCTGGTCCAGTGGTCCTGGAGGACCTGACTCCGGTGGTCTCAGAGGTTGCCACAGAACTGCCCAATTTCACGGATGCTGCCATAATCAAGAAGGCCGTCTTTGCCTTTGGCCTCTGGGCTGTTCTGTGTGCATGGGAGCATTCAGAGTCCACTCCAGACCAGGAGCCTTCAGAGTCCACTCTAGAGCCCGCTCCAGCCCAGGAGCATTCAGAGCCCACTCCAGAGCCCGTTCCAGCCCGGGAGCATTTAGAGTCCACTCATGAACCCGCTCCAGTCCGGAAGCCCTCAGAGTCCACTCCAGAACCCACTCAAGTTTATGGTTTCACTCCAGAACCCATTCTAGTCTAGGAGTTTACGTTGGAGCCCACTCAAGTCTACAAATTCATTCCAGAGTTCGTTTCAGTCTACGAATCCACCCCAGAGCTTACTCACAGCAGTCCACTACTGAGTCTGCTCTAGTTCCTCCCGAGGTGGTGGTTTCTGCTGTGGAGCCTCTCGAGGTGGCGGCGTCCGCTTCAGCTCCCCTCTGGGCGGTGGTGTCCACTCCTGAACTCTCAGTCTGCCTAGTCATGGCCAAGGAGACTGTTGTTGAACTGTCTGCCTGCCCTATTTCGGTCGGGGAGACCGTTGCTGGACTGTCTGCCTGTCATGTTGCAGCCATCGAGGCTGTTACTAACCTTTCTGTGCTCTTCTTTGCAGTCCTGCCTGAGCTGCTAGGGGGTTCATCGGCCCTGTCGGCTCCGCTGAGGTGGTCGTCGGCACCGCCTTTGCTGTCTGCCGCTCTGCCCTGGTTGCCCGCTGGGGTTGTTGTTCGGCCGGAGCCTCACTGGTCTGTCCCTCCGGTCCCGCCTTGGCCTCCTGCCTTGCCGGCCCCGTCCTGGCCTCCTGCCCTGCCCTGGCCCTCTGGCCTACCTCTGTTTCTAGACCTCTTTCACTACATGGACCTGGCCCGCCATCCCTCCCCCTGGTCTGCCTCCGTTCCGCCTCCCTCCGGGATTTCATTGACTTTTTGGTAGCGTCTGGTATCCGCTCCTTAGAGGAGGGGTAATGTCACAGCGTCTAGTTGGTGTGCCCATGTATAGCCACTAGAGGACACGCTTAGATTTGTTTGTTTCTCTGGACTTCAGTTCCCATCACCCTTTGCCTTGACTATCAAGCCTCATTGCATTCAGCTGTGTCCAATTTACCTTGTTAACTAATCCATATAAGCCTGGTTTTCTTTGTCTTTGGTTGCTGGTTTATTGTTTACTGTTATGTGTTTTCTGTTGCTTTTGTTTTGCCCTTATGTGGATTACTCTGTTTGTGTTTTGGACTCTTCAATAAATGCTGCATTGGGATCTTCTCGTTTTAGAGCATTTCGTGACAGAGGGATCATGCAAAATGCATGTAATTTTTTATTTTATTTAGTACTGACCTGAGTAAGATATTTCACATAAAAGATGTTTACATATAGTCCACAAGAGAAAATAATAGTTGAATTCATAAAAATGACCCCGTTCAAAAGTTTACATACACTTGATTCTTAATACTGTTACCTGAATGATCCACAGCTGTGTTTTTTTGTTTAGTGATAGTCGTTCATCAGTCCCTTGTTTGTCCTGAACAGTTAAACTGCCTGCTGTTCTTCAGAAAAATCTTTCAGGTCCCACAAATTATTTGGTTTTCCAACATTTTTGTGTATTTGAACCCTTTCCAACAATGACTATAATTTTGAGATCCATCTTTTCACACTGAGGACAGCTGAGGGACTCATATGCATCTATTACAGAAAGTTCAAACACTCACTGATGCTCCAGAAGGAAAAACGATGCATTAAGAGCCGTGGTGGGGGTATGGGGCGTTAAAAACTTTTTTGATTTGAATGAATGAATGAATGAATGATGCATTTATATAGCGCTTTACTGTGTATTGTTGAACACCCAAAGCGCTTTACAATCATGTGGGGGGGTCTCTCCTCAACCACCACCAGTGTGCAGCATCCACTTGGATGAAGCGACGGCAGCCACAGGACAGCAGTGCCAGTGCGCTCACCACACACCAGCTACAGGTGGAGAGGAGAGAAAGTCATAGAGCCAATCAAGTGGATTTGAAAAATTAGAAATTTGAAAATTAGGGTAAATTTAACTTATTTTGTCTTCTGGGAAACATGTAAGTACCTTCTGTAGTTTTTAAAGGGCAGTACTAAATGGAAAAAATATTTAGATATTTAGATATTTAGGCAAAATAATAAAAATAAATCTTTATTATGTTCA